CTCGGTGGTCGTCTTCCCTGGTGATGGGCGTGCCTGTATGCATGGATGCATGTGATGCTGCATGTCCCTCCTCACGGCTGTCCTTCCACACGTGCCGGTGTGCGTCACCCCCATCCCCCAACCAACATCATCACCCTCCATCACTTCCCTTTCTTTTCCCTCCTTTGGCTCTGCACCACCACGTCGCACCACCATCACCACCATCACCACCATCACCGTGTTACTTCCCCCTTCCCTGTTTCCACCACTCCACACAACACAGCCCACCAACCAATCAACCGCTAACAATCATCCTCACCTGTGCTTGATGCAGCCAGCCAGCCAGCCAGTCAATGTGCCACAGCAAAGCCAGAAAAAGGGAAGCGCAATCACATGCCACGGCCACCATCGTCATCGCTGATGGAGCTGAAAGAGGAGATGAAGGGGGGAAGGGTGGTGGGCACGGGCCGTGTCCTTCCTTGTCTTCATCGGTGCAGCCCCAAACACCGTGCACAGCGCACGTGCACACGCACGGCCATCATCGCACCAGCACCAGTAGCAGCAGCGAGCTAGCCTGCCCTGCGTGAATGCCTGTGAGGCAACCAGAGACGAACAACGACGACCGGTGAAGGTGAGGACACCAAAGGAGAGACACAAGGGATCTTGCATGGGAATATGCAGCATGTTGTGGCCGGGTGCATCACCTACACACAAGAACAACGAAGCAAGCACCCAACAATGAAGCAACCAAGCAAGCAGGCATACCATCACCATATCCACCACTGCTGCAATACCTGTGTTGGCCGCTGTCTCGATCACGCCTCAACAGCTCCACATCACATGGGGAAGGCTGATGATGATAATGAGAGCAAAGGCGATTTGTTGGGAAAAGAAGAAGGGAGTTGGGTTGGGGAACCTGCACACGTCCGCCTGCAGCCACGCACACGCACACACGCACATTTGAGTTGTGTGATTGATTCATGCGAGACACACGTCAGTGCAACCACCCCACAGCCAATAACTGCTGTGGTGTGTTGGCACACATGTGTACATGCGTGTACGTGCGCGCGTATGTGCATGCGAATGTGTACTACCACCCCACAGACACACACACACACACACAGCCCCAGCGTCTCACCTGGTGCCTTCTTTTCTTGCACATTTGTGTGTGCGTGCGTGTATCGCCCTGGTCGTGTCATGAGGACTTGGGAAGAGAACGGCCACTGCCCTGTGCAAATCACACACATGAACACATGCGCAAGCACAAACAATCAAAATCAGCGAGAATGACACCACGCAGTGAGCCAGCATGGCAGAAACAAACCACATCCACCTCCTTTGCCACATTCACATCACCCACATCACCACCTGTGCATGCACATGTCACATCCCCAAACACAGATACACACCACCACCGCCACAAGCAGCACACCCGCACATGCGTGTGCGTGCGCCGTGTACATTCACCACAAACCACTCACCACCACCGTCGTCGTCATGCGAGGCAACAGCACATCGACGCACATCACTCCCTGTACGTGTGCGTGTGGAGAAAGAGGTGAGTTGTCACAGAATCAGGCTGTCAATGACAACAACACCCATTGCCACCACCAACAGACCCAACGACATCCAAGCAAGCCTTCACAATCACACCCACACATGCTGATGTTCACACCCACACATCACACACCACCCACATCACCACAACCACCACCGCCATTCATCTCACCTCCACATCCATGGCAGCAGCCGCTGCTGCTGGTGATCAATGACGACGACGACGAGCAGTGGAGATGGCCCAGAAGGCAGAGGGCCCGTTCATCCTAATGCAGCCAGCCATCAACTGTTGCTGCTGTTGTTGTTGATGGTGGAAAC